TTTGGATGTTCCATATTCTAGCTAAATGATTTAGACAGTGGTACTAAATATTGTTTTCCTCTTCTGACAATTCTCCATAATAAAATAAACCCTTTATCAATTAAGAAGCTCTCACCAGACTTTTTAGCCAGCTAGTTTTTATTGATTACATAGCTTTGACAACTGGATTTAATTTAAAATGCAAAAGTATTATATATTAAATGATATACATTATCGTCTGTTTTGTATAAAGTGATGTGAAGTCATGGATACTCCAGTATCCCTCATCCAATTCTCTTGTAGTTATGGAAAAAAATTATGATAATGGGGAACTACATTTAAATTACTGTAATTAAGTAGAATTCATCTATTAAATTATTAATTAATCTATTAGATAAAATTAATCTATTAAACTTTACCTATTTGATATTCTTACATTCCATTTCCCCACTGATTTTAGTAAAACATAGACAGCTAAATAATTTAGAGAAACTACTAGGTGACTCTGGTTTTTGTTTGTTTTGTTTGCTTTACGGGTTTCTAAATAATTAGTTTTAATGCTGCAACATGTCTAGTAGGTTTTTGAAAAAGTTTTTTTTTTAACTTGGCTTTTAAGTGTTTTCCTTGTTAAGATTCAGATTTCACTGTTTTACCCAAACATACATTGAGCTTGTTTTTCTCTCAAAGAGAGGCTGGAAGTGAAGTGTGCTTTAGCAAATACGTACCAGTAGTTTGTGAATGTGTCTGTGTTTTTGGTGTGGAGTAAGGGGTGCTCTGTGCAGAGAGAAATAATAGAAGCAACTGCTAAGCAAGGAGCAAAGCATGTTCACTAAAGGGTACTTTACATTCTCCTTGAATGAATTGATATGCTGGCTAGCTTACAGCATAGAATAAAACCATACTATTATAAGTGAAACCTAAAAGTTCAGTCATGGAAATGTTCAGATATTGTTTTATTTTCAATCTGAAATATTTCATGATAAAGTAGTTTATTGAAAAACATGTTGGGCCAGCATTTGTCTCTTATAAATACATGGAGGTGCTCATTTTGGAAGAATCTATTCAAAGCCAAATACAGGTTATTTAGTTTAGTTCATTTAGTATTATCTTCTGGCTAGTTACGGGATTATCTTAGTTGCTTGAATGTATCTTCATTTTAATTGCTTTTGATAAATTATTTCTAAGGATAGGGATCAAATTCCTAACAATTAGTGCAACTGAAATCGTTAGTGCAATAAAGTCTAATCTTTAGCATTGTCTCTTCATACTTTACTTTCACAGGCAATTTTGATCTGGTCACTCGTGAAATTTCATAGGCCTAATTATGCCGAAATTCCATACCCTGACTGGGGAGTTGCTCTAGGTTGGTGTATGATTATTTTCTGCATTATCTGGATTCCAATTATGGCCGTCATAAAAATAATTCAAGCTGAAGGAAATATCTTTCAAGTAAGCACATTTATATTATTTATACTTTATAGAAAGCACTTATCAAAATGAAGATTACTCATATGGTGGTAATATGAGTTATGAACCTTTAGACTACTTCTACACCTGATACAATCATCTGATTACTATGTGCATAGCATAGCTTTACACCATATGTGTATTTGTGTGTCTCGTACTAGACTCTAAGCTCCTTTAGGGAGAGTTTTATGTTGCTTGCTGCTATATCCTCAGGCCCTATGAGTGTGCTGAGCACATAGAAGTAATATTTATACTTGTACTGAGTTTCCCTGAAGATGACACAAAGCAAAGGACCTTTTTGTTTTATATCTATAATCTTTAAATACATTGTCTGGTTATAATACATGTCCTCATAGTGTGTTTAGACTGGAAAAAGCCTGGTAAATTATTTCAAACCCAATCTAGACCCTGAGTGATCCCTCTTGCATGGAGGTGTAGGCAGATGGAGTTGATTATGACATCTCACTAGGACAATGACAAAGACAAATCTCAGGAGTCAGATTATAAATAATTTCCCAAGCCCACCCCGATCAGTGGTTTGACCCTGGAGCTCCCTTTGTTCGGTTCTTGAAACCTCCCAAGTATACACTGGTTTAAATCCTCACCTAACCCTCCCTCTAAGGGCAGCACAGAAATGTCGGATAATTCAGTGAAAATACATGGATTGATTCTGTTGTTCAAATGGGCTCATACACTTTCTTTTAAAATCATTTACATACTCAGTTATTTTGGTTTCATAGTTGGTGTAATTCTAGTAACAGTTAAATCTGAGTATCATTTTTTTAGTATACTGTATTAAGAATTTTGATGATCACTTTTTTTACTTTTCTAGGTTCTTATTTCATTTTGGTTAGCAAAGAAAATAATATGGTTTGATATTTGCTTGTTTACAGACTGTAACACTTATGGTCTAAAACAAGTTTTTTTTTTTTTTTTTTTTTTCCTTTTCAGCGCATTGTAAGCTGCTGCAGACCAGCTTCTAACTGGGGTCCATACCTGGAACGACATCGTGGGGAGAGATATAAAGATATGGTAGATCCTAAAAAAGAGACTGACCATGAAATACCTACTGTTAGTGGCAGCAGAAAACCAGAATGAGATCTAATTTTTTAAAATACGTGGTCATACAATGTGATTATTTTAGAACAGAGGAAAATTTTATTTATTTTATGTTAACTGAGTAGAAAAATGTATATACTATGTTCATGATAGTATAAGTTTTTCCCATGTAAGCAGGAATGTAATATAATGTGAATCTACTAATATTTAACAATGTGATTATATTTCTTTTTAGATTATCTATCTGTATAACACATATGTAGCTGTCTCTATGTCACAGTAATACTTTTGTAAATATTACCATATTTTTCTAATATACCAAAGACTTTATTTTGAGCCAGTTATTTAGAAAATTGTTATATTTTCTATTATACAAGTTTAAAAATATTATTTACCTATATTTTCTTGGTATATAATCTTTCTTTTCCATAGAGCTGGGGAAAATAAATCAGTATACTTAAAAGAAAGTGTTAAAATTGAAGGCCTCATTTAACTAGAAATGCTACACATACATGAAAAAATGGACTGTGTCTATAGCACTGTAGTTTAATACTTTTAATCCAAATATATCTAAAATTTTCACGTATTTATGGGTCTCTTTTTCTATGTGCACGTAGTGGTTATGTTTACTTACAAATAGTGAAATAAGGCAGAAAAATAAGGATTCTATGGCCAGTAAATGATAAATCTAGAAAATGGAATCCAGAAGCTTCGAGTACTTCTTTCCCCATATAATGTCTTCCTAGGTTATACTTGGAAGAAAATATCTCCCTCCTAATTTCTACTGTGTTTCACAAAATTAAGAGTTGTTCATTATACTCTCTGAAATCTAGGTTTATTTTCAAATAGAACATGGGACAAAATGCTAATGAGGAAATGGCTTCAATCAAATCTAAGATCTTATGATTGTAATATATCATTAATAGATCAAGTAAAATGATATTTGTCTTATTTGAGTAAGTTACTACTTACAGATGATAACTTATTTATACACTTAAAGGAGATAAACTTGTCAAGATTGAGGGAAGGCAAATTAGAAAGTGCTATGTCCCAGTTTCCTAAAAAAAATGGTAATGAAAACATATCATTAATAGGCTTATACAAGCATAATATTATTGACCACTGGTTTAAACATCACAGCCTAGGATAGTGAACATTGCCCAAATATGTAAGAAACTTCTCAGCTGTTCTTAAGGTCCTTAACCTGGGCTTCAGAGAACATATGAAACCGACATTATACATAATATCTTTCTATGTGAATGTGTACTTGCATTTTCTAGGGAGAGAGTCTAGAGTTTTCATAAGAATACCAAAGGGATCTGTGACTCAAAAAAGCTTAAGAACCACATATACTACTACTTCTGGCTTTTTGTTCTCAGCAAGTGAGGAATAAAAGGAATCATTTTAAGCCTTAATTTCTGATACATTTTAAATTCCTTTTCCTCTTCCTTTTGATTGAAGATTAAAGGAGTAAGGGATTAAGGTATTTAATTTATACTGGTAATTTATTTTGGGGAGAAGGGGCATGAAGGTAGGTAAACAGATAAGCCTATAACTGAACAATTTCAGTGAGCTATGTACATATATATAAAATAAACTTGTGTTAGATATTCTGAGGATTTCGAGGGTAAGTCAAATGTCATTAGTGAACTTCAACAGATTAATTCCTCAGTTACACTGGGTTTTATAAAATATTTGAAATAGATGGCTGACTAAAGAAACACTTTTTCTTTATTTTAATCCATATTACATGCATTCTATCATTATATTTTGGTGCTATCTGAGGTGTCAATTTTCCACCAAATAGAAAAACGCATGCCATTTTCTATAGGTGATTCTTGTGATTCAGGGACGATTTAGGCACATTTTTAATGAAATAACATCCAATTGATGGAGGAGAGGGTGATGGGGAAGAAATCCCCTTCAAGAGCTGACTACAAAGAGTAAAGAGTTTGTGTGATTATCTTCACAAGTATCTAAAGCAAGATCTTAACAGTGCCTGGCATATTTTAAGGTGCTCAGTGATAGCTCTTATTACAGATTTGACAGTAGTAAGAGAGAATTCTGTATAATAGAAAGAGTTCCATCAAATCCCGTTTACTTTAATGCAAAAAGACATTTGCATATTGTATACCAAAACTGTTTTTCACATGTGAGTGAAATTGAAATTACCATATCTCAACTATATTCTTTTTGCTGTAGCTTATTTTCTAACGCAAAACTGAGGAACCATTTCTTTCTCTACTGTATTCCTTCCTTCCCCAGTAAAACATATATATATATATATACATACACACATAAATATGTTTATATGTTTATAAACTTGTCAAACTTGTATATATAAAATATATAAATGTATAAGTATATAAAACATGTAATCAATTCTTTAAATGTCAGTAAAAGCAAATTGATAAATGTCTGGTTTTTGTACCTGACTTGGCATCCCCTCCCCTTTTAAACAATTCATTTGGTATAAACACATATAATCAAGTGAATTCACTCAAAGTGCCTTTAATGATTGCCTCCGTTGTCATTACATTCTCTAAGCTTGTCAGATTTCCAGTTAATTAATGCACCATTTAAACCCTTGATAACTAGGAAATGTTCCAGTTCAGCCAGCTTGTATTCCACGATCCCGAGGTTTACCAGTATTCGCTTCTGTATGGTTATGGTGTGTGGGGAATTAATTAAGATATCCCGAGAGAGGCTGATGACTGAAAGACTCTTATCAGTATCGCTCTTAGTTGACCCAGTAGAAGAGGTTGGTCTTACTAGTGCAAGAGAAGTTGAATTTGATGACATTTCACCAACGCTGCTCTGTAAGGGAAGGAAATTATACACATGTAGTTTATTGAGTTTAACAATTTCCAAATACAGTTGACCTTTGAACAAGGTGTGGGGGGGTTAAAGGCATCGATTCTCTGTGCAGTCAAAACCCCATGTATAACTTTTGACTCTCCCAAAACTTAACTACTAATAGCCTACTCTTGACCAGAAGCCTTACAGAAAACACTCGATTAACACATATCTTGCATATGTATTATATACTGTATTTTTACAATAAAGTAAGCTAGAGAAAAGAAAATGTTATTAAGAAAATAATAAGGAAGAGAAAATACATTTGCAGGACTGTATCAAAAAAAGAGAGAAAGTAAAGACCCATGGAGTTCAAACCTATGTTGTTCAAGGGTCTACTGTGCTGCCAACTAACATGTTTAGTCTTGGTTACCAAAATAAACTGATTGTCCTCCCCTAAGAATTAGACATTGAAAATCTGTTGAACAACAACGTTGATTTTGGAAATACGCTCTTCCCAAACACTGGAAAAAAAATATATATGAAAGTAGCCTTTAAATATCAAAATGTCATATCTTTGGCTTACATTTCTTAGAAAAGCAGGTCTATACCTGGACCGTGATCCTTATCTAAAAGGATCACTAAAGATCTGAAGTCACTTGCAGCTTTCAATATCACCAGGAAACCCACATTTTGACCTGAATTATTTGTGAAAGCCCTAATACCTGCCATACAGATGACTGAAACCAGGGGAGAAAGAGGCAAACAAACCTAAGGGGTAGTAGAAGCTAGAAAAGAGAGAGAAGGTATAGATTCCTAAAACAGGAGGTGGTGGTGGAGCGGGCACTTTCAGCTCTACTTTTCAAGTGGGTGAAAATCTGACCACATACTCAGTGACTTGGGGCTTTTTACAGCAGACCACAGCTGCCCAGTCATTGGGCAATAAGAAGGAAGCGTTGGGGGAGAAGAGAAGAATGAAGAGAAGAGAGAAGAATGAAATGACCTTCCCTTACTCTTATTTTACTATTTTAGTATCGGTCTACTTTCTCAGACACACACCTCCCATCCATGAACCACCTCACTTCATCTAATTCCAATTTCTCTTACACACTTTACCTGAAAGCGGCTTTTCCAGAAGACAAACAGAAAAGCAAACAGAATGCCGCTCAGTAGAAGCAACAGCACGCTCATGTTTCCTCTTCCGCCTCTTTCTCTCTTCTCGGGCACGGAGGCACTCAGCTGGCAGCTGGGAAGCAGGGGGACACCACTCGCCTGGCCACGATGTCGTGGGCCACGAGTCTAAGCATCCCACACTGCCTGGTGCAACTGGAAGACGCTGCCGCTTTCGGCTTTATATACAGCAAAGGGCTTGTGACGTCACAATCGAGCACCTACGTGAGGGCGCTACGTCACAATCTGATGACGTTAAGACCCAAAAGCAGGCGGCATTACATCGGCCTGCTTGGTTGCGGTGTCAGGTCGTTAGAGAGGGCGGTGAGAGACACCCGGGGTGGTCGGGATTTCCAGGAAGCTGAAACACGGTAGAAATAGACTCCAAATTCATCGGCTAAATACAAGATTTTAAAAGTGCTCGTCCCTCCTTTTTTTCTCTTTTAAATTATCTTCGTCCTTGCAGCAACCACTCCATTATTCATTTCAAAAACAAGTCCAGAAACAAGACGGAAATGTACTGTGAAAAGTAGTTACCCACAAACTATAAGTCTTTGCCAGAAACCGCCTCCACAGTCCCATTGCTGTTTTAGGATTCACTTTAACCCTATTCACATTGGGCTAATTATATACATTTGTGTCACTGTACAGCTTAAAAAGTAATTCCAGAGACATTCTCCCATATAATTCTCACAATAATTTTGTGCTTATAGGTATTTTTAATACTGTGTCTACTTTCAGAAATGCAAAAACAGAGACAGGTATTAAGTAAGCTCATTTGAAACTAGCAGCAAAAGCAGGACTCGAATCCACAGAGGTGAGTCCTGAGATAAACTCTCCCATCCCCATCCTCAGGACCTCTACCTGTACTTGCTGACTTGTGAGCATCGAGTATTTAATATTTTCCACTCAAGGAATTGAACAGTATATTTGGATTAATATTAATGAGAGGTAACAGATACAAGAATCATTGTACTCAACAGGAAATGTTTGAGAAATTTGGATAGATGTCCAAGATGACACCGAACTAAAAATTCAGAGCTAAAAGCAATGGCCCGGGTAATGTCAACATGAGTGGCAAACTACAACCCCTAACTGCTTGGGGGAATGACTCACATCTTCATACAGATAGGAAAGAAAAGAATTATTTATAAATTTTGCACATCCAACTTATTTCCCAATAATGAGTTCAAAGCTTAAAGATTTGTTTACTCAACAGGTGTGTAATAAACACTCATGTAAAGGGTGTTTACACTGTGATATATTCTGGGGATATGATTATGAGTGAAAATAAGGTCTCTGTTCACCTGGAATGTGCACTGTGGTGTGAGAGATGGACATTAATCAAACACCCACAGAAATGGATGTAAAAGTGCTGATGAGATAAGTGGTAGCAAGAAGTACATGGTGGCACAGGAGCTTCTCACAGGAAATGGGATATAAAGGAGAGCAACGCTCCTGGCGTTATGGCTTATTCAACTAGATGGATAGGAAATAACCACGTATAGGATTAGTCATCATGAATTTGGTGTTGGACATGTTGAGTTTGAGGTGACATTGAGACATGAAAGAGAGACGTAGAATTAACATTTTAAACAATTTTAAGGACACATTTCTGTGGCTTTAAGTACACTCACATGGTTGTGCAACCCATCACCACCATCCATGTCCAAAACTTTTTCATCTTCCCCAACTGAAAATCTATACTCATTAAACACTAAATTCCTATTCTCCCCTCCACTCAGCCCCTAGAACCTACCATTTTTCTTTCTGTTTTTACAGATTTAGATAGAATAGTTACCTCATAGGAGTAGAATGACACAATATTTGTCATGTTGTGACTGGCTTATTTCACTTAACATAATGTCTTCAAGTTTCAACCATACTGCAGCATGTGTAAGAATTTTATTCCTTTTTAGGGCAGGATAATATTTCACAGTATATATATATACCACATTTTTTTACCCATTTATCCATCGATGGACACTATGTTGCTTCTACCTTTTGGTTATTGTAAATAATGCTGCTATGAACATGGGTTATTTGTATGTTTTAGATAACAGTCCTTTATGTCTTTTGCAAATGTTTGCCCCCAGTCTGTGGCTTGTGTTTTTACTTTCTTGACAAAGTCTTTCACAGAGCAGAAGTGTTTAATTTTAAGGAAATCCAACTTATCAATGCTTTCTTTCATGAGTAGGTCCTTTGGTGTTATGTCTAAAAGTTATCACCAAACCCAGGGTCATCTAGATCTCTTCAAATTAACAACTCTTAGTTTGGGTTTTTTTTTCCCCCTATTGTTTTGATATTCTCTATTTCCTTTATTTCTGCTCTAACATCTATTATTTTCATCTTTCTGCTACCATCGAATTTAGTTTGTTCTTTTTCTAGTTCTGTTATTGTTCCTAAAGATAGCTGAATGCATGTTTCTCTCAAGTTCACGTGAAAACATTCTTCAGGATAGACTATATGTTAGGCCACAAAACAAGTCTTTTTTTTTTAAGATTTTATTTATTTATTCATGAGAGACAGAGAGTCAGAGGCAGAGGGAGAAGCAGGCTCCCCGCGGAGCAGGGAGCCCGATGCCGGGCTTGATCCCAGGACCCTAGGATCACGATCTGAGCCAAAGGCAGATGCTTAACCAACCGAGCCACCCAGGTGCTCAAAACAATTCTTAATAAATGTAAAAATATTGAATCATACAAAGTATCTTTTCCAGTCACAACGGATGAAACTGGAAATCAACAGCAGAAGGAAAACTGGTCAATTCACAAATCTGTGGCAATTAAACAACACACTTTTAAACAGCCAATGGATCAAAGAAGAAATTAGAAGGGAAATTAGAAACTATCTTGATGGAAATGCAAATGAAAATACAATACACTAAAACTTATGGGATGCAACAAAATCAGCGCTGAGCAGGAAATTGATAGGTTTAAATGCTTTCTTTTTAAAAAAGTACTTAAGGGGCGCCTGGGTGGCTCAGTTGGTTAGGCGACTGCCTTCGGCTCAGGTCATGATCCTGGAGTCCCGGGATGGAGTCCCACATCGGGCTCCCTGCTCAGCGGGGAGTCTGCTTCTCCCTCTGACCCTCCCCCCTCTCATGTGCGCTCTCTCTCTCTCTCATTCTCACTCTCTCAAAATAAATAAATAAATCTTAAAAAAAAAAGGATTTAAATCAACAACTTAGGGGCACCTGTGTGGCTCAGTCGGTTAAGTGTCTGCCTTTGGTTCAGGTCATGATCCCAGGGTGGTGGGACTGAGCCCCACGTTGTGCTCCCTGCTCAGCGGGGAGCCTGCTTCGCCCTCTCCTGCTGCCCCTCCCCCTCAACTCGTGTTCTCACTTGCTCTGCTCTCTCAAAGAAATTAATAAATAATCTTTTTAATTTTTTTTTTATATTTTATTTATTTATTTGACAGAGAGAGACACAGCGAGAGAGGGAACACAAGCAGAGGTAGTGGGAAAGGGAGAAGCAGGCTTCCCGTGGAGCAGGGAGCCCAATGTGGGGCTTGATCCCAGGACCCTGGGATCATGACCTGAGCCGAAGGCAGACACTTAACCAACTGAGCCACCCAGGCGCCCCAATAAATAATCTTTTTAAAAAATCAACAACTTAACTTTACACTCCCTTTTGATTACTATGTGCATGAAATATCTTTTTCCATCTTTTTACTGTCAATCTCTGCATGTTATACCTAAAATTACTCCCTTTTACACAACATACACTTGGGTTCTGCTTTTAATCCATACTGCCAATATATGTCTTTTGATTGGGCTGTTTAATCTATTTGCATGTGAAGTAATTACTGGTTGGGGAAGCATTTGCTTTTATCACTTTATTTATTTTTTGTTTTTTGTACCTCTTTTAGTGTTTTTGTCCTTCCTTTTCTCCATGACTGCTTACCTCCTTTATCTTTAGTTCAGTTTTTTGTAGTGATGCATTTTGATTGTTTTCTTATTTTCTTTTGTGTGTATTCAATAGATATTTTATTGTGGTTATCATAGGGGTTCCATATAACATCCTAAAGTTATGATTATCTGTCTTAATTGATACCAAATTAACTTCAATTACATGCATAAACTTCACTCTTTTACAATTCTGCTTCCTGCTTCCACTTTATGTTATTGATGTCACAAATTATATCTTTTATATATTGGATGCCCACTTACATAGATTTATAATTATTTTTTATGATTTTGTCTCTCTAAATCTTGTAGAAAATAGCAAGTGGAGTTACAAACCAAAATCGCTATAGTACTGTGTTGTTTTTTTTTTTTACATTTGCCCATGCATTTGCTTTTACTAGAAGTCTTTATATTTTCATATGGCTTTGAGTTACTCTCTAGTGTCCTTTTTCTTTTTTTTTTTTTGTTTAAAGATTTTATTTATTTGACAGAGAGAGACACAGAGAGAGGGAACACAAGCAGGGGGAGTGGGAGAGGGAGAAGCAGGCTTCCCGCCGAGCAGGGAGCCCGATGCGGGGCTCGATCCCAGGACCCTGGGACCATGACCTGAGCCGAAGGCAGCCGCTTAACGACTGAGCCACCCACTAGGCGCCCCACTAGTGTCCTTTTTCTTTAAGATTTTATTTATTTATTTGAGAGAGAGAGAATGTGAGCACAAGCAGGGGGAGAGGCAGAGGGAGAGAGAAAGAGAGAAGCAGACTCTCTGCTGAGCAGGGAGCCCATGCGGGGCTCTATTTGACAGAGAGAGGGAGAGAGCATAAGCAGGTGGAGTGGCAGGCAGAGGGAGAAGCAGGCTCCCCACTGAGCAGGGAGCCCGATGCGGGACTCGATCCCAGGACCCTGGGATCATGACCTGAGCTGAAGGCAGACGCTTAACCGACTGAGCCACCCAGGCGCCCCTCCTTTTAGTATTTCTTTTAGCATTACTTATTAATATTATTTTTTAGGGGGGGCAGAGAGAAAGGGAGAGAGAGAATCTCAAGCACGTGCCACACCCAGCGTGGAGCCTGACACAGGGCCTGATCCCATGACCCTGAGAGCATGACCTGAGTGGAAATCAAGAGTCAGGAGTTGGACACTTAATTGACTGAGCCACCCAGGTGCTCCTCTTTAGCATTTCTATTTGTAATGAACTCTTCCTGATTTTGTCTGGAAATGTTTTAATTTCTCCCTTATTA